AAACAAAAACAATTCCCTACACTATTTACCTTCATAATCTAAGCCGAAATCCAGGTCCAGAAAGGCGTCTTCTAAAGAAAAGAAGTAAAAGGAACGTTAATGACGTTTCAAAAATAAAGAAGAAATAAAAACAATTCTCCACACCACTTACCTTCATAGTCCAAGCTGAAATCCAAGTCCAGGAAGGCGTCTCCTAAAGAAAATAAGCAAAAGGAACGTTAATAGCGTTCCAAAGACAAAGAAAAACAAAATAAAACCACAAGAAAAGAAGCAAAAGGAACGTTAATGGCATTCCAAAGATAAAGAAACAAAAACAATCCTATACCACCTTACCTTCATAACCCAAGCCGAAATCTAAGTCCAGGAAGGCGCTCCCTAAAGAAAAGAAGCAAAAGGAACGTTAATAGTGTTCCAAAACAAAGAAAAATAAAAAATCTCACAAGAAAAGCAGCAAAAAAAACATTAATAGCGTTCCAAAGACAAAGAAGAAATAAATCAATTTTCCACACTACTTACCTTCATAGTCCAAGCTGAAATCCAGGTCTAGGAAGGTGTTTCCTAAAGAAAAACAGCAAAAGGAACGTTAATGCCGTTCTAAAAACAAAAAAGAATCCCTTACACCACCTTACCTTCATAGCCCAAACTGAAATCCAGGTCCAAGAAGGCGTTCCCTAAAGAAAAGAAGCAAAAGAAACGTTAATAGCATTCTAAGACAAAGAAAAACAAAAAATTCCACAAGAAAAGTAGCAAAAAAAACGTTAATAGCATTCTAAAAATAAAGAAAATCAAGAATAATCCTTCACACTACCTTACCTTCATAAATCCAGTCCAGGAAGACGCCCCCAAAACAAAAGACAAAAAAGCAACATTAAGGCAGTTCCCAAAGACAAAAAAAACAAAAACACCAACTTACCTTCATAGCCCAGCCGAAATCCAGGTCTAAGAAGGCATTTTCTAAAAAAAAAAAGTAAAATGAAAGTTAGTAACATTTCCAAAACAAAAAAAGGAAAAATTTTGCACTTACCATTTGAATTCAAACTGTTCAAGTCGAAATTTGGAGTATAAAGTCCAGAAGGAGAGAGGAAGAAAGGGAGAGAGAGAGTGTGTGTGTGTTGAATGTGTGTTGAGTGATGTAATACGTAGATTTATCGTTATTGTAAAAAAAAAAATAAAATAAAAAAAAAATTTATGCTTACCTAAGTCAAATTGACTGTCCAATTTGTTTACCGGATATCCAATAATCCATCCGGTCAATCCAGTGATATAAACAGATCAATCTGAATCTGGTCAAATTTCGGATGGATGATCAGATATCCAAATTGATCAGATTCGGAGCACACCTCTACTACTTTTTCTGTTACAGAGAAGTGGTTTTTTATTTTTTTAATTTCAGAAACATTAAGTATATGTGATTTAAAAGGCCAATAAAACTCTTTATCATAATATTGATTTGAATAGACTATATGTTTTTTATATTCTTTATGAAGTAGAGGTGGAAATATATAATTATAGACTTTTTTGTAAAAATGTAAACTATTAAATAATTCTAACAAATATATATTATTTGTTAAATTTTTATATAGATGGAGTTTTAACTTAACCAATAGTAATAATATATCACAAACATGTTTCATAGAAAATTACCATGTTATCCAACATGAACTGGTATTTTAAATACTATTAGCAACATATAACAAATAATGGAAACATATTTTCATTGCACCTAATTGAGTAGTCAGGTACTGATAATAACTAGGAATAGAAGATAGTATATTAACAAATGAATAATAATATATTGTAAACAAATGATATAACATACCACTCATAATACTTATAAAAATCTAATAATAAGTTTCTAATTTCAATTTGTTCTCATAAAGATAATGTCCGTTTTTGACATAATTAAACAGTTTTAATAAAGAAAGACCAACTTTTAAGATACTTTTTTGGTAAACGATCCTTTAATAATGGTAAGAAATATAAAGTGATCTATAAAGCTCATTCTTCTGCTTTATAGTCATTATAATAAAGAATAATATTTCGTGAAGGATGCCAAAATCAGTTGAAATAGATTTTTTAATAGCTTCTATTTCAACTTCAATTTCATTCTATTATCCGCTATTAAGTTTACATAGTTAATTATTGAGATTAGGATCTTTAAAAATTACCTATTCAATGTTTAAATAAATATGGTGTAATATTCTCATAGAATAAATACATGATGTCTACTAGAAGATATATAGGAAAGTAAGTTGATCTTATATCTAAAAGAATACTACGCCTTGTAATACCTATTTAAATAGTAATTAATATTTGTCTAAAACAAAAAAAAATAAGACTATATATTAGTTATTTTTTGCTTAATTCAGAAGCTAATAAATTTTGTGATTTTGATAGTGGTATCTTCTTTATTTGTTCTATTCTTATTTTAAAATCTCTATGAGTTCTTATCAGTAAATTTGATAGATCATATGGGGTCTTTGCAATAGAAAGGGAGGAACTCCAAAAAAATTAAAATTTTAGTTTATAAGCCAAAAATGTTCTAAATACTATAATTTGTTCAGATTTATTATTAACTCATTTTTTATTTTTTTTTGAGTTTCCTCCCTTTCTATTGCAAAGGCCTTATATGTTTTGTTTGTTTTATCTGATAGAGGTATAGTTGAATAATATATATAATTACTATATACTTCTCAAAGATCACAATAACGACATACCATATAAAAGTTATGGCTAGTTAAATAAGCAAGTTTTGATAATTCAGGAGTATCTTTAGACCAGGAAAGTACAGTAACTTTTAAGAGGAACTTCTCATTCATTACACCATCATAACATTCAACACCATCTATAAAGTTACAATTAATTTGATTTAAATACATATAAATAATGATAACAAATAAATTAAATAAATTACCTTCTAATAAACATAATTTTTCATAAAAGAATTGAAATCTTTTGGAGATTTGAGTCCCAAAATAATTGAGATAATAAGTAAATTTTTCTTCTTTACACGTTATTTAGGTGGTAAATTGACATTAATAAATAAAACTATCTAACAATCATCACATTTTGCTTAAATATTTGATAGCGATTGACAGAACCTAAAAGTGCAATATCACAATCATCACAAAAATATTTTGTTTGTAATAAGTATTTATATTAAATGCCATCAAACATATCACTAATGATACTATCTATACCATATCCTTCTCTAGCAACATATTTAGAATGATAGCATAATTGTTTCGCACGTGTCAGATCTTGATATTGAATAATAAATTGATCTCAAATGGAAAAATATGCTACTTAGGCTCTTGATTGACCTCTCTCTTAATAATGTTTAGCTTTACAATAAATATATTTATTTAGTATCTTAAAATTACCAGTAAAGGTACAATATAAGTTTATACACATGTCAACCCAAATCGGCTTAAGAGGAACAAGATCCTTAAGTGTTTTTATCAACTTATACAGATTTATTATAATACTATTAAATGCAGTAACAATTTCTTCAAAAGCAGCGTTAGTAATATTTCATTGGATCTTTATCTCAAAGAGATGCAACCCTTTAGCAACTTCATTTGTAATATTAATCCCTATAGAATCATAACTTTATATATTAGTCAATATATTATAAGGATAAGAAAATCGTAAACAACCTTTATTATCATCAATTTGACTATTGTATTCTAAACTCTGAGACTCTTTAAAATAATCAGAATTGCTTTCAAATAATATTAGTTCATCATTATTGGTTATGGGTCCAGACAGTGATTCTGAATAAGACAAAGAATCACTAACAAATGATATTCTATTTCGATAGATTAGTAACTATGTATGTTATTAAATAGAACTTCAAAGAAACAATATATCTAAAAGTATCCATCATTTTCATCTCATCACATGTATCGATCATTTCTACTTCATTACATACATCAATTATTTCTATCTTATTAAATTAACTTAATATTTTGTTTAATCTCGATAAATTGTATTTTTATTCATAAGATTGATATAAGTTGCAGTGATATGTATAAGTTGATTTACTAACATACGAATTATCTCCTGTATTTTCCTGATATCTGTAACATATGTATTACACCTTCAACATAATAAAAAAATCCAATAAAAAATTGACCAAATGTAACAGAAAATCAGTTTAGCTTTTTAAAAAATATAAAGTAATGATATTTATAAAAGAGTATATAAATATAACATATCCAAATGTATTTTTTTTTTACAATTTTAATCAATAAATATAAAATAAGTTGAAAAAAAAATATATCGTTTTTATTTATTAAAAATTGTAAATTTCCTTATTTATTTGATTTTCATAACTTTATGATTAGATTATATGTAAAATCTAATCCTTAAAAATATCAAAAAGTATACAATGTATCAATCACAGTAATTACGTTATAAATTTAGTAAGACAAAATTTATATAATAAATTAATTAATATAAATAAGTTTAATGAAGTAATTTCTGTTGTCTCTCTTTTTTTTTATCATTTCTTACAGAAATATCTTTAATATAATTATAAATCAAGTTATAAAACAACAGTTGATTATTTTTCGCTTTTATAATAATGCAGTAATGAGAGAAAAGGGAAAGGTAAAATTAACAGTTAAAAATAATATTGACTTTGAGGATAATCGTATTTCTTTAAGGAAAGAAAAGGGAAAAGTAAAAGTAATAGTTAATGATAATGTTAATTTTGAGGATAATCGTGCTTTTTCAAGTAAAGACTTAAATAATGCTTCTTCAGGAGAGAAATTGAATAATGTTTCTTTTATATCAAATGCTGAGTCTGAAATTGATGAATATTTAGCTTATAATAATAATTATAGTCTTATTATGAAACATCTTACAACATTGGAAGCTGAAAATGTATGCCTTCAATTTCTTCTGGATCAAGGAACCTTTAAGATGAATAACCAACAAGCTAATAATGCAAAATCTAATAAAAGAAAGCCTAAGATATTAGATGAAAGTGATAATGATATTTTAAGTAATAATTCAAAGATACTTGAACAAAATGAAAGATCTAAATATGTTAAAACTATTGTCGATGACTGTGAAGTAACTATAATTTTGTTATTTAATATTTTAAAATTGATATTTTTTGTTGTATATTGAATATTAAACAAATCTATTAAGTAAAAACAGCCTATTCCTAAGCCAAAAGTTAATAAATACTTAAATATTTACAAAGTGTTTAATATGAAAAAAGAAAAGTATAATAGCTATTGAGTAAGTATTTGATTTATTAAATATTTTTATTAAAAGGATACAGATTTGTTATTGATCACTTATTTTTAAGAAAGTATTACAACACTAAATTAGTTATAACTTTAAAGGAAATACTAAGATGTTTAAAGAGTTGACTGAAAAAGAAATTTGATATATAATTAAAAAGGTAAATAAAATTGATGTATTTTAAGAAATTATTAATTATTTACCTTCTATTTTCATTTCAATAGTTATTATCAAATAAGGGTTTTTCTCTAACAGTGGGTGATTGAGTACCACATGAAATGATATGTCGAATAATAAATAATAAGCGTATGATTTTATTTTTATAATATTTGATTTATGTAATACTAATAATAGTTTTATAATAATTTTGTAAACCTTTTAGGTAATGTTATAAAATGTCATAAAAGAATTAAACAAAAATCAAAAAGATATGAATCCTATTCTTTATCACTAAAACTAACAGATGATCAAATCCAAAATGACATTGATATAGATGACATTTACAAAGATGATTCAACTGATCAATATATAGTTCCATTTACTAAAATTGATATTAAATCTAATATATCTGATTGAGTCAAAAGGTTGTATATTTTATATAATTTTTTAAATATTTGAGAAAAAATAACTAATATACTTTAATTCAAATTGTTAATGTTTAAATATTAGTCAACATTATTCTAATACAAAGTAGCAAACTCATCAAATAATATGAAATGGCAAAAGAAATATAGTTAATAAAAATGAAGAATTATCATTAATCGTTGATAAATCATTTTCGGATACAACTTTTTCAAATTTGACTATTCAACCACAAACCTCAACTAGTTCAAGAAGTTCAAGAGGTCAAGTTCAATAAACTAACCAGTCAACACGTAATAGTAAAAAAAATGTGAATGAGAAACCATCAGATACAACTTCATCAAATTTGACCATTCAATCACAAACCTCAACTGGTTCAAGAAGTTCAAGAGGTCAGGTTCAACAAACTCACCAATCAATACGTAATAGTAAAAAAAATGTGAATGAGAAACTATTAGATACAACTTCTTCAAATTTGACCATTCAATCATAAACCTTAATTGGTTCAAGAAGTTTAAAGAGTTAAGTTTAACAAATTCACCAGTCAACACAAAAAATATGAATGAGAAATCATCAGATACAACTTCTTCAATTAACTGATTCAGAAAATTAAATTAAAACTAAAGTATATGAATTTTTCTGCAATGTCAATACAATATAACTAATCTCAAAAATATAAAATAACATTAAAACTTATTGTATTTGCTAATTTATTCAAAAAATCTGATATATAGTAAAAATAGGTAAATCTTAATATATTATTCAATTTTAAATCATTTTTATAACTAATTTTTAATAAATACTTATTTAAAATTAAATCAATTAGATCGTTTAATTATATTATTATTACTATATATATTATTTGATTATTAATGTAATAAATATAATATGATAATAAAATATAAATCGAATATTTATTTGATAATTATAAAATATTAATAAATCAAAAATATTACAAAAATTGTACTAATTATATGTAAAAAATTACAATTAATATACTTATTATATACTGTATGTAAAAATATAATTTTTATGTTGCAAAAAAATACAATTATTGTACTAATTATATATGAAAAAAATATGCAAAAAATATACAAAATAGGTTTATTTTGAGAACAAATATTATATATAACAAATTATATTTTATGTTGATCATAAATTAAATAAAAATTAGATGATTTTTTCTTATAGTGATGTATTTAGAGAATAAGTCTTCTTCGTAATTATTATATAAAATTATTATATAAAATATTGGAAGAAGACTTATACTTTTCTAAATATGTACTTGTGTATGTATCTCCCAATGCAGTTTTTCAATGAATGCAAAAAAAAAAATAGTGAACTTAATAAGCAAATTGTAAAAGAAAGACAACTAAATGTATTTGAAAAAATGAAGGCTTCTTCATAATCATTATATAAAATATTGGAAGAGCCTTCATTTTTCTAGATATTGTTACAGTCAGTTCTTTAAGTTGCTTATGAGTGGTAAGCAAAACAATATTTATGGGTGGTAAGCAAAAGGTTTAATTTGATATTTAGATTTAGAAGAGTGTCAGTATATTAACAGTTTATTTAATAACTATAACAATGAAGTACTGTCTCAGTCAGCGCTCTATACTATACAATTATGTTAAAGGGATTAAACTAAACTATTATATAAAACTATATGTCAGACACACTGCTAAGCTAAAG